ATTTATTATTAAAATATTATACATCTAATAAGTTCTTAAGATCATATTTTTTTTAATTTAGTTTAGAGGGTGCAAAATTTCATGAATATGAGGTACAAAGTTGTAAAATTTACATATATAACTTATAATTTTTTTGACACTAATGAGTAACTTTGCCACTACTTATAAGTATTTTGAGGATGATTTTAACAATTTTATTTAACGTAAATGAATCTCCATTTACTCAACATGAGTATCAATAAAATATTACTCTTAAACTATTTCATAAATATCTTTAAAAAAATATCATAATTATTATAATATCACTTTTAAACTAATAGTTAATAATGTTGACCATTAACTTGAAGGTCAGAGAAAAACATGTTTGACTGACACTTGTCATGCCTAGGTTTATTTGGGTTGAGTGACATTTTTATTCCTAGGTTTTACATAACTTGACAACTAGGTATTCTATCTGTCAACAAAATTATCGTCAATCTACACTATTTTTAAGAATCAACATCATTGTCAGTTGGCCGAGGAATCACATTGCAACGATTTTAATACATAAAGGACAACATTTCTTCAATAAATAATTAGTGATAACTAACAATCGTTATGAAATAATTTAAGGATAAAAATATCTGTTAACAATTGATTTATTATCAATGAACATTTACATAAGCATATTTTTCTATAAAAAATTTGATGAAAAGAAATTTCTAACAAACTACTTTCCCAGTTTCATTTTATAAAACATTTTTTAAGATGATTTGATATTTTAAAAAACGTAAAAAAATTTGAAAAAAAATTAAAATTTCATTAGTAATTGTTATTTCAATGAGGCACTTCTTATTAATGAAATGTATTTTTTTTATCAGAATTGAAACGTATAAGTTTATAAAAAAAATTAAGATTATAAACTACATTCAATAAACTTCATTAGTATTTGTAATTTTAAAAAATAAACCTTATAAATTAGGACGGAGCGAGTACAACGATATTTAGTGTGACTTAATTATTTATTAGATTTCATACTCCCTCTATTTCAAAATATTTATACTTAAAGATTATTACACATAGATTAAGAAGCACAATTAACATGTAAAAATCTTATATATTTTAGGAAGAATGACATTTAAGCCCCTCTCAAAGAAATTTATTTCAATAAAAGATTATCAGTTTTACATTGAATATTGTTTTATGAAAATATGTATGTATTATTGTTAAAAACTGAACCTTGACATATTTCAAAATATTTATCCTTAAAGATTATTACACATAGATTAAGAAGCACAATTAACATGTAAAAATATTATATATTTTAGGAAGAATGACATTTAAGCCCCTCTCAAAGAAATTTATTTCAATAAAAAATTATCAGTTTTACATTGAATGTTGTTTTATGAAAATACGTATGTATTATTGTTAAAAACTGAATCTTGACTTGTTAAATTTTTAAAGAAATTCTAACAAAAAAAATACAAATTAATGTTCAGTTTTTAACAACAACACATACGTAGTTTCATAAGATAATATCCAATGTAAAACTAGTGATCCCCTAATGTGATAAATTCCCTTGAAAATGTGTTAAATGCCGTTCTCCCTATATTTTACTAAATTTGCCCCATCATTTATATGGAGAATTTATATCTCATTAATGTGATAACCACATCTTAATATATTCAAAAATAAAAGAGAAAAGTATCATTAAATAGTGGGTTGAAAGTTTAAAAAAAATAAAATTAAATAATTCTTTTTCAAATAAAGAAAATTAATTTTTTTTTTCAATTTATTTATAAATAAAACATCAATATTCGCATGTCAAACTTTGTTTTTACAAATAGTTGATCTCTATAAATAATTAATTTTTTATGAGACTTATATGCAAGGGACAAATGCACCTAAGACCCCTATAAAGGGAAAAAGAAATCACATATAAGCTTCAATATATTCTTAATCGTTTTTGAGCCACCCATATGCAAATATGTTTTTTTTTTTCATGAAAAGACATATTTGTTTTTAAACACACAAACTATATATAATGAACACACATTATATTATTCACATATGAATATTGTGTTTATTATGAATATTGTGTCATATATATACTTGAACAATTTGTATATTATTACTCAACTTAAACATTCAAACCATATATAATAAACGGATATTGAATTGTTTATGTGTAGACTTTGTTATGTATTTTTACGGACATTGTGTCGTATATACATATGAAAAACTTGTACATTTAAAGTAAATGTATCTTTTCAAGAAAAACTTTATTTACATATGGGACCTTTGGCCTTCTTGAAACAATTCAGAATATATTAAGTATATTTTGTGATTTTTTCTATTCTTGAGACTTCAAGTGCGATTCTCCATATATGTAATTTTTCTTTGATGGGATGAGCATTGTAACGTTGGACGGATCAATTGGCAGGACTTAAAGGAAAAAAAGTTGAAACGAATAAGAGCGAATTTTAATAAACATCTCTTAATCATATTTATTTAAATTTAAAACCTCTAAATTTTTAAAATTATACTATAGTTTAGAGGTACTTATTTGATATTGAATTTTTGAAAAAGATGATAAAATTACCTTTTATTTAAATTAATATCAAAACTTTACTATTTTACTTGTCAATTGTCCTATTTCACTTATTAATTTACTTACATAATGTTATTAATTGTGTTACTTAACTTTTGTTTTCATTTTAGGGGTTTAAATTATCTTAAAACAACTTGTTAATTCTAATACTGTATATTGTTTATTTACTTAAGCATTATTTTCATTGCCAGACTTTTATTTGATTTCATTTTAGAGAAATGAACAAGTAAAATAAGGGAATTAAAAATATTTCATTAGTAAAAGAACAAATGAAGTATAATATTTCTGATATTAATTTAAATGAAGGGTATTTTTGTCACTTTTTTAAAATTTAATATTAAATTAGTATTTCTAAACTCAATGAAATTTAAAAATTTTACATGTTTTGAATTTTAAAATAAGTGCGATTGAGGAATGCTTATTGAAATTCTTCCAAAGAATAAGCAGGGTGGCTAGGGTTGAGGAGAAGAGAAGAGAGAGGGAGAGCCACGTAAGAGAGCAAAGGAAGAGATAAAGTTGGAATCCAGATTTGGAAGGAAGTAAAAGTAGGTGGTGTGGTTGTCTTAATAAGGGGGTAGGAAGGAAGATGGGTAGATAATAACACCAAGTCCAGATCGTGTGGTCATCGCCTTTGCTTTGCAACATACAAACAAACAAATCCTTATTTTGGATTTCCCCTTCATTCTTTCTTTTCCCTCCTCGCTACCAAACAAATCTCAGCCAAATGTTTGTTTGTCTTTGTTGCCTCTTGTTTGTCGTCTTCTTTCCCTCCTCGAATATTTTTCTTGTTTGTTTCTTCCTCTCCTTCGCCTTGATTCCTCATCCACCCTGCGTCCTGACAAATTCCCACCCCCTTTGCCCTACTCTGTTTCCCTTTGTTTTCTATGCAATCATCACTCCTTCCTTTTGCATTTCTCCAATTTCTTTCTTTGATCCTCGAAAGTTATTCTTATTATTAAATACTATGTTGTCATTCTAAACATCAGAAAAAACTAATATACTTATTAAAATATTTGTTTTTAAATAAATGAAGACATCTATATCCAGAGCTAGTAATTCAACTCAAACCCACTTGAAAAAAATTAAAATTAAACTTGACTATATGAGTTTTTTAAAAAAAGCCTGCCATTTTAAGTTAGATCCAAATAAACGTAACCCAAATAAGTTCAATAACCAGAATTATTGGCTTTATATGTATGTAGAGCAAGTAATTCAAGCAAAAGCCGATAGGTTAGCCCAAATTTACTTGAAAAATGTTAAGGCCGTGCTTGATTATATGATTTTTTTTGAAAGATAAAATAATTTAAGTTTGATCTAAATAAACTTACCAGAATAAGCCATACTAGTTGGAATTATCTGCTCTATGTGTATCAGTGGAGGATATTTATAGTTTTACCCAAAAAAAAGTAGCAGCTCTCTTAAATTGATTTTTTTTTTTAAAAAAAAGCAATACATTTTGTTTTTTATTTGGTTACACTAGCATAAAAAAAAGTTCGAACTTTGCATAATATCTTGTCATAGTCATATCGACAGAGTTAAACTCATGGTAAATAATAGTAGTTAAATTTTTTTTCCATTAATAACTTTTGATATTATTCATGCTCTTTTTTCCCCTAACAACCATTATTTGTGCATGTATTATCTTGTAATTTAAATTTAGTATTGTCACGACAGTAGATTTCTCAATGTGATTTTTTTTCCTTATTCCACAAGATTTAAATTGAAACTTTATTTAAAGGGTATTGAATTTTTTCTTCCATTTGACCCATGCATACTTTATGTTCTATCTCTTCAAAGATTGAAAATTCTCCCAAGATCATATTTGGTGAAGAATAAGATTCTGTTTTGTGATAAAAGTTGGAAAAGGAATAATATGGCCCATTGGAATGTTTTCCAACTACAGATGTTAGCATCAATAAAGTTTAATTTTAGATTAATATCATACTAAATTGATCTCATCAACTTTTTCCAAACTAATAATTTATTATATATATATATATATATTAATGAGAAAATTATTTAAGCTCAAATAAACCAAAATATGAGGCTTTCATAATTAAAATTGAGCTGTATTATTTATAACTAGAAGACCATATGACTTTTTATCAAAAAAAAATCATTTGACTCTCTTTAGATTTTATATTAATATATTAATTTTGATAATTTACCATTTCAATAAGGAATAAGATTCATTCCCAAAACAAAAAGAAAATCCACCTCAGGCAAGAAAAACTTGATTCACATTATTGTTTCAAATTTCTTTATTTTTTTTATGTCGTTTCAAAGTTTTTTTTTTTAAAAAAAGCATATGGTTTCACAGAGAGAGAGAGAGAGAGAGAGAGAGAGAGAGAGAGAGAGAGAGAGAGATAGATGACAAGAGGCGGTAGGCTTTAGGCTCGTCTTCTCACAAATTCCATTGTCCACTGAGAGGAGGGAAGGACAACAAAACAAAAACGACAAAGGTACCCGTCACGCATTGTCGACAACGTAGCCATGAAGAAGTCCTTGAAACCGAAACTTTTAGTCCAAACATTGAATTTCACTCCCACTCCAGAACAAGCTTCGCTATTCACCTGCTAAAACCGACTGCCTTTCGGTTCTGCTTTTCCCAGATTCAGTTTCTCCACCTTCTTCTTGCTGTTTTTCACAGGGATTCTTCTGGGTTTTGCCTCAATTTCAAAACCCACTCGCGATTCTCCGATTCTCTCCTTCGATTCCCCAATTCTCGCCCTCGATTCTCTCATGATGCTCCTGCTCCGGTAGGGTTCGTTTTCGTCTCTTCTGTAAATTTCTGCTGAATTGATGGAAATTTTTTATTCCCATGTGTGCTTTTGGGACGACGAAGCTTGAGTTTTTCTGACCATACTTTTTTTTTTTTAAATTTTTCGGGTTGTGTTCGCTCACTCTTGAAGTCCATTGTTTTCTTGGTTTTATTTAGGAATTGTCTTTCTCTGCCTTGCGTGTGGGATCTGCAGCATTGATTTTATTACTGAGTTCCTCCTTATCTAGACGCTGGGCTTTGGATTCGTGTTTTCTTTGTCGTTCCTTAGGAATAGGTATATTCTGTGCATTTCTTGAAATTTGTCTCTGGTTATCCTTGAGTTATTTGGATAGATCCTAGAGCTTTTAATTGATCAAAACTTATCATTGACTGTATTCTAAATTATGTCACTTTCTTATCCTGGATAATCGTCATCTCCTTTTGCTTTTATTTCCCGATTCCTGAGATTGTTCTTATTGTTAAATAAGATCTATGTTTCAAGATGAAGGGTCGTCTTCTGTAACTTCATCACCTTTTCAGTTCTTCTCTATGATGTCACTTTCGCCTAGCTTAGGATCTCCATACCCTTGGCTTCGAGAGCTTAAATCCGAGGAGAGGGGCTTGTACTTAATCCATTTGTTGCTCACTTGTACAAATCATGTAGCTTCTGGTAGTCTTGAAAATGCAAATATGGCTCTTGAACAAATTTCCCATCTTGCTTCCCCGGATGGTGATACTATGCAGCGAATTGCTGCCTATTTTACTGAAGCACTTGCTGATCGGATACTTAAAACATGGCCTGGTCTCCACAAGGCCCTCAATTCTACAAGACTAGTCATGGTTTCTGAAGAAATTATGGTCCGGAAGCTGTTCTTTGAGCTGTTCCCATTCTTGAAGGCAGCATTCGTGCTCACAAATCAGGCTATCATGGAAGCAATGGAAGGGGAGAAGATGGTTCATATAATTGATCTCAATGCTGCTGAACCTGCACAGTGGATTGCACTTCTCCAAGTTTTGAGTGCTCGGCCCGAAGGCCCTCCTCACTTGAGAATTACTGGGGTTCATCAACAGAAAGAGATTCTGGATCAGATGGCTCATAGGCTGATTGAAGAAGCAGAAAAGTTGGACATCCCATTCCAGTTCAATCCTGTTGTGAGCAAGCTAGAGAATCTTGATTTCAACAAACTTCGTGTCAAGACTGGAGAAGCACTAGCTATCAGTTCTATTCTCCAATTACATTCACTTTTGACCTTGGACGATGAAGCTTTGCGCAGAAGAACTCCTCTCGTAAAAAAATGCTCCAATGGAAGCCATCTACGAAGAGCCGTGCCAATGAACCAAAGCTCATTAGGTGATTTGCTTGAGAAGGATATGATCAATAATAGCTACAGCCCAAGTCCTGACTCGGCCTCATCATCCCCAGCATCATCGATTGCTTCAATGAGTATGGAGAGCCTTCTCAATGCCTTGTGGGGTTTGTCGCCCAAAGTCATGGTTGTGACAGAGCAAGACTCTAATCACAATGGTTCAACTCTAATGGAGAGGCTATTGGAAGCTCTGTATTCTTACGCAGCATTATTTGATTGTCTGGAATCAACAGTCTCAAGAACATCAATGGAGAGATTAAAGGTGGAGAAGATGCTTTTCGGTGAGGAAATCAAGAACATAGTTGCGTGTGAGGGAGCTGAAAGAAAGGAAAGGCATGAAAAGCTTGACAAGTGGCTACAGAGGCTTGATCTAGCCGGGTTTGGGAATGTACCTTTAAGCTATTATGGGATGCTACAAGCAAGGAGGTTACTGCAGAGCTATGGTTGTGAGGGATACAAAATGAGGGAGGAAAATGGCTGTGTTGTGATTTGCTGGCAGGATAGGTCACTTTTTTCAGTATCAGCATGGAGACCTAGGAAGTAGAATGGGAAGATTTGAAGCCTGGAATGAAGAAGAAAAATTAGAGGGGAAGAAGTCCTGATCAGGTTTTCTTTTATTTTTTTCTCTTTTTATTGTTTGTATGAAAGGGTTTTGTCCATATGGTAATGACTATTTTTCATAACCAGTTTAGGACTACTCATTTTATTCAGTGAAAACCACATGGAGAAGGGAAAAAGACTCGAAAAAAAAAATGATTCTGAGAGTGACAGAGAAGAAGAAGCAATCTTTCTGATTCTGTTTATTGCTGCTACTTTAATTATATATGAATATGAATTCCTATGCTCATGACTACGTACATGTGCTCCTTATTATTCTCTTGTTCAGTGCAAGCATTCTTTTTCCCAAATTATATTACTGAAGAAATTATGTTATTTTCTTCCTCTCATACTTTACGGCCAAATTGGCTGCACTAGGGATAGTGAGAGACAAAGGTAATGTCGTTTGTAACATGTGAGACAAAGTTAATGTCGTTTGTACTACTTCGGGCTTTTTTATAAGAGACAAATGATAGTTGATAGTTAAACTATCTTTTGTAACGATCATTGATAGTTAAACTATCTTTTGTAACGATCATTTGTAATATCTTTTATGCTGTTAGGATTTTTTTGAGGTTAAGGTTCATTTTTACTCTCAAATTATTTTCGTAGAAGCACCTAGTATTCTAAACTCTTTATCATAGTAATATTGTTCTTGAATAAATTAAATCATAGCAATTTTGTCCTTGGCGTTAAATGGGCAAACATTGACCATTAACTTTGTTGAATTAAAAGTAAATTTTACGCAAATCATAGCAGCTTTTGAAGTAATTGTATCGTAGCAATATTGTCCCTAGCGTCAAGTTTGAGTTAGCAAAGTTAATGGTCAATGTTTAATTACTTCAAGGGTGATAGTTATGATAAAGAGTTTATTTCAAGGGGTGATAGTTATGATAAAAAGTTTAAGATGTTGAGTTTTCTAATAGAGGATAAAAATAGACTTTAACTCTTTTTTTTTTCCTCGTGTTTATCAAGTTTCATTTTAAATTAAAATATGAAAGACATTTATCATCTATTTCAATCAATTTATAATCCAAATTCAGTAAAAGAACAAGTTCTAAATGTATCACTATGCTGATAAAGGACACACTCTTGGAACTTGGAAGATTCGCTTTTGAAAGGATGATGGATTTCTAACCCACCTTGTTTCAAACATCTCAATCGCTATTGTTTCTGAGGAGGGTTTGAATCTTGAAGTCTCACCCTTTTCACTTGAACTAGACGCAAGTGTCTTATTTCAAATTATTTGGTTTCTGTGAGTTGGATTTTGATGACTGAGCTTGGAAGTACTGTTAGGTCTTACCATCCAGTTTGCAGTTGTGGGATGCTTTGAGTTGGCCCTATGAACATAAATTAGGAAGTGGCAGAACGTGGTGCAAGATAATTTAATTTTAATTTTTTTAAAATAATAATTTAGTAATTTAAAATATTACACTTGGATTAAAATTGTAATTACATAAGCAAATCGATCATTATTTTTCTTTTCATAAAATCATATTGAACATATTGATATCATGATATGGTCTTTTTATGTAAATATACTTTTTATGTCTTATCTTTCATAAAACTAGTATGTATTTAACAAATTTTTGAGTTTAAATACTTTTTATTTAATTCAAATTGCGCAACATACTAAAAGTAGGGGTCAAGGGTTGCAACATGCAAAATATACATATTCTAATTGTACTTTTTTTTTCAAAGCCTCACTATAAAGGGGCCCCTCTGGTGTTCACAAAAATAACATTATTCTTTTCCAATTCTAAATATAATTTACTTTTAAGTTATTAACCTTCTTTTTTTTATTTTGACTATCTTAATTAACCCTTCCGCATAAAGAAGGGAGTTCACATATATGCAAACACATCAATTTAATAATAATTTTTTTTAATTATTTGAGATAGAACCCACAGCCTCTCTTCTTCAAGGGAATGTGGGATGTCATAGAACTATATTAGTTCTTGGCAAAATTATATTAAAATTAAATAGAGCTAGTTATCCGGTTAAAATTATCTTAGAATTGAAGATATATATTAAGAACCTATTTTGAATTTTGAATACATTCTAAAAGGTACATTTGAAAAAAAAGGCATGAAATATCTTAAAAATTATTATAAAGCGACTTATATTTATGATTATTATCGTATTATATTTTTTTTTCCCAAGGAAGTGCCTTAAATAAATGACTAGAGCGGCGATATTTATTGCGTTGTTTAGCATCCCGTTTTATTATTTTATTTAAAATGACATTTTATCTTTAAAGAGCCACTTTTTTTTTTTTTTTGCTACGAAGCTATCTTGATGGCAATTCTTTGTTTTTGTTTTTGAAAAAAAAACAGAGTCATTTTTTTGCTGGGTGAACAATTTTTTTTTTTTTTTTTGCCAAAAATGGATTCTCTCTTTTTATGAGGATGTTTCGTATACTTTTACTAAAGGAGCCTACGCCAAATCAACTCAAAATATGTAAATATTATACACACACATGATTTATTTCATAACAAACTCTTATTATTAATATTATTAATATATTAAAATTTATTTATTTTGATTTAATTAGATAAAAATATATTAAATATATAAGATTAAATATTTAAATCATGCCTTTAACAAAAACAAAAAATTTATATGAGAGAGGATATTCGATAAGAGTAATATTTTAAAATTATAATTAAAAAAATTATTTTTTTAAAGTATTTTATATTTTAAAAGGCTAAATCTTCTTTAAAAATATTTTATAAATTAAAACGGAGTGAATATATTGTAAAAGAAAGCGAGGAGGAGGGAAGAGGTGGCGGGAGGATAATAAAATCTGAAATCCCAAAATATTTATACAATAACCTAGAAATACGACTTACACACACATTTCTGAAATAAACAGGTGCTTCCTCTATAAAGTAAAGTAGCTTCTCATACAATAAGTTATTTATTCATTTAAGTCCAGTTTATTTATTATATATATATATATATAGAGAGAGAGAGAGAGAGAGAGAGATTAAGAACAAATGATTTACTATTGAGATACAAGAGGAAGGCGTTTTATTATTCACAAAATTTCCTGAATGCAAGATTTCCACTTCAACGCTTCCCGGGAACAGTGATTGCTGAAACATTCCAACAATAACACCTCAGGAAAAAAAAAATTAAAAGAGAAAGAAAAACAACACATTATATTTTTCCAATAAAATGTATTCCAATAAAATGTGTGTGTGTGTAATGCTTTTGAAGTTTTTGGCTGTGTCATTTCAGAAGGTGTTACTGTGAGTGTATTTATAGTCGTGCGAGGAGGAAGAAGACGACGAAGTGGATTGTGATAAATTTGTCATTCAGTTAAGACCTAAGAGCTTAGAGGGGAACGACAGAATATGCTGCCGTTTTAGCATCCTTCGGCTGGAAACATGCAAGAGGATAAAGTTGGGACACAGTTTGGGTACACATTATTATAATAAAATCTGGATCATTCAAATTTTGATCTAAATATCTGAAAGGTCGAAATTTAAACTATTATATTTTTTTAAAATAAAAATTTATAAAAATTATAAAATAATTTTAATAAATTTTTTTATTTTTAATATGGTCTAGATTTAATTTGGAGGATCCAATTTAATAATAAAATTTTTATAATTGACATATATGACTAACTAAATATACTTTGCATAGTCTATATTTAATATGGTGTTAATCTGGAATGTGCATAATATATCTGGATAGTCAATATATTATAATTCTAAAAATTTTAATATTAAATTGGACACACCAAATTAAATTTAGATCATATTAAAATAACAAATTTATTAAATTAATTTATAATTTTTATTTTAAAAAATATAAAATAAAAATATATAATAATAATCTAAATTTGGACCATCCAGATCAAAATTTGGATGGTCTAGATTTCATCATAGTGATAAGCATCATGGTGCTTGTGTTTATCGCTGTGATGAACACCCAAACTATACTCATAAAGTTGATGCTATGCATTGATGCATAATAGAATTGGTAATTCGATTCAAGCTCAACAAATCAGTCCGAACTCATTAGGAAAAAGTTAGGATTGAGTTTGACTATATAAAATTTTTTAAAAAATATAATTCTTTAAGTCTGATTTAAATAAAATAGGTATAAATTGAGCTCAATTCATTTGAATTACCAGCTATTGATATATGTATGTGTTCGTGTATATATGATCAGAAATTTATTAAAATTGTTGGATTTAATCGATAAGCCACCCTTTGGTGTATTGGGCTAAACCCAAGCTTATTGTTTTTTTGTCCTGATCCTAGTCAACGAGATTTCTAGTACAAACACTCAGTCTCATATAAAGACGTGAAGCCCAAAAGCCCATGTGGTGTCACAGTACAATGCTTATATATGGAAAGAAAGATGCAAATGAGAGATGTTAGATCTACCTAATAAGAGAAAATGACAAAAAAGTTTAAAAAATTAATTAATTTAAATTAAATATCAAATTCTAAATTTAAAAAATTTATAAATTAATTTTTTAATTTTATAATTCTGTTGTGATGAATTTGAGATTTATTTTTTTTTAATTTTTAACATGGTTAAAGAATAAAAAAATTATTTTATTTGTTAAAATTTGAAATATAAATTACAAATTCATCATAATGGAGGTGTAAAATTAAAAAATTAAGTTACAAGTTCTTAAAATTTAATTCTTAGAATCTAATTTAAATTAATTAATTTTTTGGGACCTCTTTATCATTCTTCCAATTAATAATTCACTCTAGGTGAACTTAGCTTAAGCCAAAAGAGGGAGTGGGGTTATTATATAAATAGATTAATATAGGGGTCAAAAAATATAATATACTCCTTATTTCAAAACGAAGAAGGGAGCATTGTCCGATGTGTGGGTTGAAGACCACAGAGATGGGAGACAAAGGTAGGAATTTATATAATAGTATCTTACAAAAATACATATATAATTATTAAAAATTTTTAAAATTAATTACATAATTTTTATAAATCAAAATATATATAATTATTCTTCCTTCTAAATAATTTTTATATATTTATATTTTTCATAAAAAATTAAAAATGAGTTAAATACATTTTTTTGACAAAAGTATTAAATTAAATTTTCTATAAATTTTAAAAATTTTTTATTTTTGGAAAAAAAATAAATTATTTTAATTTTTAGAGATTAACAGGTTTAACGGATGAAATTATTGATTAAAAGTAAATATATTATCAGGACCTACTGAAAAATTAAGAAAAAGTAAAAGGACCAGTGGATTAATTTCTCTTTTGCTTTAATATGTCAT